AAACGTCCCTCCAAAGTTGGCTGCTTGAACACGGAAAATGACTTGGACAATTTTCAGCTTTTTCTTTGCAATTCGACTTGGCCTCTTTGACGATTAATCCTGGATGGAATTCGATCGATTCCAGGATCGTATCACCATGTGATGAGGAAGAGTCTCCATTAGGAGGCAACCCAGGAGAGCTCGCAGTTGGGCTGGAGCTACTAGTTGCCGCCGAAGTAGAAGTTGCCGCCGACCCAATAGACGGAGTCGAAGGTGGCGAGTTTTCCAAATTATTGTCGTTCCCTCCCTGATTTTGAAGAGGAGGAGGGTCGGCAATAGAATCAAAATTGGCAAGGTGGTAAGGAAGGAAGTCCAATGCAGGAGGTGCTTCCTCCCTATTGGCGATGTAGTATTTCACCTGCTTGAGAAACATCACATTACACGAGACACGCATATGACTTGCTACCAGGTCATAGCACAAATACCCTTTATGACGATCATTGCACCCAACAAAGACACATTTTATTGTTTTTGGTTGAAGCTTATGTCGTTCTTTTTTCTGTAAAAGAACAAAACAAACACAGTCAAACACACGCAAATTTGAATAATCCGGTTGCTTTTGGTACAAGCGTTCATACGGGGACTCGTGCTCCAGAACTATAGTAGGTTGACTATTAATTAGGTGCATCACCGTGTGGACTGCCTCGGCCTAAAAAGAACTCGGAACCAGGGCATGAAATAATAGTGCACGTGTCAGCTCCAACACGTGGCAATTCTTCCTCTCAACTACACCATTTTGTTGGGAAACACCAAGACATGAAAGCTGAGAGAGAATTCCCCGAGTTTTATAAAAATCCAACAAAGGTGTAGAATTAAACTCACCGCCAGTGTACGACCGAATAATCTTAACCGTTCGGTTAAATTGGGTTTGCACCATACGAATAAACTCTGTAGCAAAAGTGATCAATTCTGATTTCTGACGCAAGAAGTAAACCCACGTGTACCATGTAGTGTGATCTATGAATAGTGATAAATGTCGATAACCAAGACGAGACGTGACCGGAGATGTGCCCCAAAGATCAGTATGAACTAAGGAGAAAGGTTCATCATAAGCAATTTCACTTGAAACAAAAGTGGATTGATGAGCCTTAGCCTCAATGCAGCTCACACAAGAAGAAGAAGAATATGGAGGATGAGATAGTTTTTCTGGTAAAATATTATTCCAAAATATATAGAGTAACCGAGCAAAATGAGGATAGCCCAACCAACAAAGCCATAAATCCCATCGAGAAGTCTGAACCGAAAAATCCAAAGGTCTATACCAAACACCATAACAACTAGTTTCACTATCAAAAGAAGACAACTGCCTATCACTACTACTAGACGTCTCCGTTGGCGCGGCCGGGGACAGCTTCTCGTAGGCATCCAAAACGAACACAAGACCCTGCTTATGTCATTCCCAATCACCCTCCCGGTTTTCTGGTCCTGCACAACACACCCATCGGTATTAAAGGAGACATTACACCCATCATCAGTCAACTGCCCCACAGAGACTAAGTTTGGAACCATCTTAGAGACATATAATGTGTCAGGTAAGGTAATAGCACCAGTAGAAACTGTCCCAGAACCAAGAACTGGTAGGCGATCCCCATTAGTAACTTGAAGATGAAGATCACGAGTAGATTGTAAAGAACCAAAACGCAGGTGAGAGGGTGACATATGATTAAAGGCAGCAGAGTCGAGTAACCAATAAAAAGAATTACCTATCACAGCCCTAGTAGCAAAGGCGGAAGTTAAGACAAGAGGAAGGGCCTCCTGTAAAGCCTCTTGCACCAATCGACAAATATTAGCAGAGGTGAAACCAGAGGATGATGGACCGGCGGAAGAAGGAGAAGCAGTCGGAGGGGGAAGAGGCCCAACAGCATCGGCAGCAAAACCAGTACCAACGCGTCCAGAAGAAGGGCGGCGAGGAGATTGGCCTCGACGAGCAAGAGTAGGACAATCGAAGAGTACATGCCCTGATTTCTTATAGTAGGAACAAATATTGCCCTTCTTGCAGTGAGGTTGAATATGGCCAACCTCATTACAAAAGTGACATGTCAGAGTACTGTAACCAGTTTGCTGGAATTGAGGACGACCAGAGGAGCTACCACGACCAACGGAAAAAGCCGCATCCGAGGTAGAAGAGCCAGAATCAAGATGAGATTGATATTTGGGCTGAGTCTCCTCGCGAACAAGTTCAGCAAAAACAACATCGATGCTGGACACATTGCAGCGGAGGAGGGAGGCTGGAAGAGACTCGAACTCACGATGAAGATGCATAAGAAACTACTTCAAGTGAGAGCGTGCACGTTCAGCAACCAAATCAGCAGAAGCCGCGCCAGTGAGCAACGAGGCGGTAAGGAGATTGTGCTTAGTCCAAAGATTAATGCAGATATGATAGTAGGTCCAAATATCCCTATCACATTGAGAGATATTATCCAATTCAATTTAAAGTTGAAACTGGCGGGACGCGTCCTTTTGTGAATGAATGACGCGAAGATAATTCCACATCTCGACGGCAGTGGTAAACCGACAAAGAGTAAGTGCTGTGAGGGGATCAACAGAGACATCGGCCAAATAATAATCTGGTCATTGCCCGCCGTCCAATTGGAAATGCTCTTTAGAGCAGTCACTGGAGGACGGGGAGCATCACTAGTCAAGATATCAATCAGTCGACGACCTTCAACAAGATTGCGGAATTGGGATTCCCACAACACATAATTTTTGTCGTCAAACTTGATGGTCAACTAATCAATTTTGGCGGGATCCCATGACGAGGGCGACCAGCAACGAGAAAACAACCAAAGAAGACAAGGGCGAAACACTATCCAGGCGAGGAATAAAGACGGCCGACAAGAATAAGCACGCCACAAGAAACAAGCGGCAACACAGAAGGCGAGAAATATGCAAGCTAGAAGCCCAAAGAAGTTGCGAAGAAGCTACGAAGAACAAACGTGACGAAGAACCAAAAAACTCAGCGACCCAGAAGAATAGGCCGCGACGAAGCAGAAATCCCAAGAACCCTAGTCGTGAGGCTCTGATACCATGTCAATTTAGCAAACCAAATAGCAGAAAATTAAAGGAGAAAAGGAGTTTTTTAACGTGGTATAGTTAATAATCCACTAGTCTGCGGAGAGGATCTCCCTCTCAGGTTTTAACATTATTAGTTTTCTTAAGATCTATTGTACAACTTATTACAATATATAGGACTTAGCCTTACGTAAACCGTATCCGTGTAGAGTACGGCTACGCTAGAGAGGAGCCCTAATACAAAATGGTCTCTTTAATAAACAATAACCGCATTGTTTAGTCATTTTTTGTTAACCGCTCAACAAGGTTGTCAAACCGGTTTATACCAGTGTGCCGGTTTAGCAAGTGAAATGGTTCGACCGGTGGTACATACTGGTTTGTGCCGGTTCATACCGGTTAATATTACAAATAATTTATAATTACTCATATTTAAACACGACATTTAACATAAATACCTAAATATTTGTACTTGAATCCAACAAATAACATCAACATTTAACTTTTTAACACATAAAACAAATAATAAATTACTTTTTATCAATTAAATTCACTAAGATAAGATCATTTTACTTGGATATTCGTATATTGATCATGCCAGTCATACCAATGGTGTCATGCCGGTTTATGACCTGTACAGGTTGAAAAAGGTTCAACCAGTGGCACGCCGGCCAGCGTGAAAACCATGATGTTCAATAATTTGTATTTATCATTAATTATACGATTCATATTAGTTAATTATGAATTATTTTCTCAATTAATCGGATAATCGTTAAGCAAGTGATTCGACAATGTTAGAACAAAATAATCGATTTGTAACCTAACCAACAATAGACCTTTTTTTCAGTTGTGCATTTTTTGTAGATTTTTTCCTACATACATATGTGTTATTTTCTAAGTTTTTATGCTTGAATAAAAGTAATTTGACATAGATATTAATCCATCGTTCCTTAGCCCCGCGGGCTCGTTTATTCCCCCTTTCAGTAGAGCAACTTCGGTCCTTTGGGCTCACAACTCAATCCAATACAAGTGCATAATAATTCCATGAGTCTACCTTCAAATTTTATTAAAGAAGCACACAAGAATAAGAGATCCGACAAGGCAACTACAATTACTCAACTAATTATCCCCACAAAATAAAATGGAAGCTTAATGTTGCTGATTGTTGTCGAGCTATTGTGCACAAGTCCATCTTTCTATTGTGCTCCTTCTAGAGCCCTTCCTTGAATTCGTTCTCATTTGAACATTAGCCACTATTGCAACTAGAGTGGGTAAGGGGTCTTATAGGCTTTCAAACACCCCATCATTTTCTGCCTTTGCGTGCGACTATCAAGACATATTATTTTCATCCCTAACTTTGAGAATAGTCGTAATCGGTTGGTCAACACCGTTGAACCGTTAGTTAGTAACAATTTAATCGTCTATTTTTTCTCACTATTTTTTTTTCTGACTATTTTTGGACTGCCCAAACTTTTTTTTGGGTACTTATCCAAAGCAAATAAACACAATTAAGGGCCTTATCGGTTTTTATTTAACCAATAACCGATAAGGTCCTAAACGGTTTTGACTTTTCAAAATTAGCTTGATTTGGTTGGTTAACCAAACCAATACAATAGCCCTAGTCAGTAGTAGACTAGTAGTCACAGTCATTTGATTGAGTTTAGGAGGAGAGAAGATGAACGGTGAAGATGAGCCAACACAACAACATTATTGGAGCTCTGTGAGACTGTAATGCAATCTCGAATGTGGGAAGTAAGTGGAGTGGAGCCGCTTTGATAATAAATAATACAAAGAACTCTTGAGAGAGAGAGAGAGAGTCCACCACCTACTTTTGATTTCTTATTAGGAGGGGAGCTAAAGCTAGCTAGCATCTTGGCATTAAGAAATGGAGCTTCACAAGGTGGGTTCATTATTCATATAAAATGGTGCACAAGATCAGAATACCCTAACAACCGTATCTCTTTTATTCCCTCCCTCCCCAGCTTCTCTCCATTGCCGCCTAGCCCTCACTCCTAGTTTCTTCACACATCTAACCAAAGCAAACCAAGTAGAGCTTCCTCGGAAGGTACTGCGAAGTGCGAATACATCCTCCTTTTGGGCTCCCTAAAAAAACAAGGACACAAAAAAGCAAAGTCCCAAAAAGTCATTAAGCAGCCGATATATCGATGTCTCCTTTATACCAAGGCAACGAGCTGTGCTTTCAGATCTCCTCAAATCCTCAACATCTCATTCTCCCCACTACTCTTCCTACCACACCTAACCCTCACCATACTTATCATGTTCCTGCTCCTCACGGCACCATCTCCGCCATCCCCGCCGTCGCTCCACCTCCACGGCGACGGAAGACGCCGGCCGCCACTGCTGCCGTCATGGAAACCAATATTAGCGGCGGCCAGAGCCACGAGAAGAAAATGATGCACAGAGAGATCGAGAGGCAGCGGAGGCAAGAAATGTCCACCCTCTACGCTTCCCTTCGTTCCCTCCTCCCTCTCCACTTCATCAAGGTCAACTCTCTCAACCCTTTCTCCGGATATTTGTCAAATCAGGCTCTGATACCAATTCATCTTAATAATTCGAATTACGAATCATATACAACTCTTATAATGAGTTTTGTTGTTGTTGTTGGGGTTTGATGTATTTTGCAGGGGAAGAGATCGATGTCGGATCACATGGACGAGGCGGTGAATTACATAAAGCAGCTGCAGCGGAGGATCCAAGACCTCGACGGCCATAAAAATGAGCTCATGGGGAAGAAGAAGAAGAATACTACTACGTTGACCAATAATAACGGCTCGAGTACGACTTCTATTACTGCGGTGCGCAGCGGTGGGCGTCCGGCGGATTCTACGGTGGAGGTGCGGCTGTGTTTGGGCGGCTTGGAGATTGTGTTGGCGGAGGAGGGTGGCAGCAGCTTGCGGCTGTCGAGGGTGATGCGGTTGTTGCTTGAGGAAGGGCTTTCCGTCGTCAACTGCGTCTCCACCGTAGTAAACCGGAAGAGCTTCCACACGCTCGTCGCCGAGGTAATTTTTTGAAATAGGGTTTCTAACTATGGGGGAAGGAAAGGAGCTATTTGGTGAAATTGTTCGGCGATGTTTGGTTTTGGTCGCAGGTTGAGGAGCCGACAAGCTTCGACACACGTGCGCTGCAGCAGAAGCTGATGCTGATGATTCCTGATCCCTTTTTTGTTTCGAGTTCATCGTCTGGGTGATTCCATATATCGATCCCAGACTAAGATGGTTAATTAGTTTGATGGTGTAGGATTAATTAGCGATGATTATTGATTCTCTGGTGTTGCGGTTTGGTTAATTTAGTGCTCATCATGATGGTTAATAATGGTGATCCGACTCATAGTTTCAGTTTCCTAACCACCAAGCTACATTAACTTAATTAATCCATGATCATTAGCTTCAGCCTTTTGCTGTGAACTCGCGCGAAGTCGGATTTGGCGAGAATACGTATATGATAACATTCAACACATTCTAGATTTGGTTTTGTGAGGTGGATCGATATGCACGATTACCTTGTTTTTCCTTGTTGATGAGATGCACATATATCAAAATTTTGCTCTTGCATAAAGATGTGCATGGTGGTTCATGATTTAGGGCATTTTTCTTATGAACTTGATCACTGCTTTAGGTTAGATCTCAGTTATGGTTTCATATGATTTTTAGTTATATATGAATGAGGGGAAGCAACATTATTTTTATTTATACATGCGAGACTGTTTTGTTATTAGATTACACTCAAAATACTGTAACTATTATTCGGTTTTGTTTTTCGATTCTTTAGATGATCGCAATAATAGGGTGTATTGAAAAGTATTTAGTATATTTAGATAGACCAACAAAGGGTCAATCTTGGTTTTGTCAAATTTGGGGTATATAGTTAATAAGGTGGTAAAGATTTGGTGGTGATCAGATCAGGATCTTCATTTCATTTGTTTACACATTTTTCTGATCATGAGCGAGCTAGCATATATGTATCTTCATGGATTTGTGTTCCTCATCTGATCATATTCTTTGATCTTGTTACATGAAACATTATGATTGTGCCCCCAGTGTCCTTAAACTTTATACATCTGTTCCTCATTACATTAATGAGAGAGCATATGTACTTTTACTCTACAATATATAGGGACAGTTGTCAGACAAGATATGTCTTCTAACCAATCCAACACTGCACCCCACCCTGTTCAGGTTTGTGTCTGTGCAGTAACGATATCAGATTCGTGACTTGGAATTGTTTATGCTACTAATCACACTTGCACTTTTGTGCAATAACTATTGCTTCCTTTCTGCATTGCTGTAATTATGCATTGTTTTTTTCACTAGCTATATATATATATATATATATATATTGAACTTACCTTAACTATGCTTTGTTTGCGGGTATTTTCCTTAGTACTAAGTGAAATGGAAATATGAAGCAATTATTCGGGTGGTGGAGGTTATAGCTAGTTAGTTGTAAAGCTAAGAGGATGGGGTTTCGTTTCATTAATTTGTGCAGTTCCACCAACCGGCAAAATAGACAATGTATATATACGTGTATACAATTTGCACATGTGTTTGTATTATATTGTCTAGTGAATAATGTCGATCATAAAGCCGAGATATGCGTTATCCTATGATCAATTATATGCGATCTGTGTAAGTCTCTACTGGAATATATATGTATATATTCTGTTAGGATTCTGATATATATTGCCAGCTCACAAGGATCTCCTCCTCCATTAACCCTCCTTCAATACAAGATCTTGTCGGGCTGGAAGATTCCTTAATTATTAGTTTCGATTTACTTGCTAATTGGTTGAGAAGGAATGCTAATTATTAGTTTCGAACCATGGGCATGCATGTTTGAGAAGGAATGCATGTGTAAAACCCAGCTGCCATCGCTAATTCTCTGATATCCATTGTAAGTGTTCAGATGGAATTGATGATCATCAGGCAGGGATGCTTGCTATATATCAACAGCTAGCAAACTGTGATAGTTTATGTGTTTTTTTTTCCTGCATCGCTTGTGAGTAATGGGGTTAGACACAGTTGATATTGTTGGATAATTCTTGGAGCGATCTGATTAGACGTGTGCATCTGACTGCTGCATGTATCTCCATTGTTTGCATTGGATGATAGGAGAAAATAAGATGATCCGGTACAATCTTAACTTCCCTAGGGGTGTGGACGCAAATATGTTTTGGATTTTGAGCGTGAATAAGGATTTATTTTAGTGGTTATTGGTTTAGCCCGAGAGGAGTTAGGGTGTTTTACATTTTTTTTGATTAGTATGATACTAACATTAGGTCCAGTCAATCGGAACATTTCATTTGGATGACTTTCTATTTAAATGAGTTAACCACAACTAATGAGGGGGAAAGGGGAAAGCGCTTGGTATTATGAAAAATTGGGGAGGGGAGGAAGGAAGGGAGATGGACACGAACCAGAACACAACCTCTTCCAAGTATGCCACAACCTCAAAGAAGGTCACGACTTTAATTTCTCAAACCATGTCACAATCTCAAAGCATGCCACAACCACAAAGCATGCCACAAATCCATAAAGCATGCCACAAATTTATAAAGTATGACACAAGTAGTAGACCTGTTTGTAAATTTGATAAAGTTTAGGTACCAAAATATAAAGAAAAATTTTCAAATACTAAAATGTAATTTTCCATCAATATTTTTAGTACTCGAATGTAAAAAAAAATAATTTTAGGTACTAAATATTAATACCTATTAAGTTCAGGTTCCAAAACTGTAATTTGTAAATAGAACGTGGAAAAGTAACATGAATGGAAAGGGAGGAGAAGGCAAGGGGAAGAATTAAAATACTATAATACTCTTAATGAATGTGTTAGTATGGTGCTAACACTTAAGGCCCCGTTTAGTATCATTTTGTTGTTGTTGTGGTTGTAGTAATGTTGTGTAAACAGATGCACAACCACAACAGAAAAAAAAAACACAAAACACAAAACACAAACCTGTTTAGTTCATAAATCTGAAAACCATGAAAGCTGACAACAAAGAACAAAACGCGTTTAGTTACTACTGTAAGAACTAAAAACAAAAAAGAGAGAGATATCTTCTTCAATCAAAAGATCAATGAACACAGACTCGGCTTTATCACCCCATATTTTGCTATCATCCCTCTCCCCATTATCATTTTTCTGAATCTCCACAATCAACATCACAATTTTCAACAATTTTCTCCATAACTGAGATAAAACACAAAACAAAGAACACATCAATCAATCACGGATTCACAAGAACTAATCTAGCATTCACAAACTTATAAAGAACTAATCTAGCATTCACTGGCGCCGGAGTTTGGTCGGCAGTTGGCTGCGATGGAGAGAACTGGCGAGGAAGTCTGGTCGCGCGAGCGACTGGTCTCGAGGGCAAGAAGCTGGCGACGCCAACGGGAATCAAGAGGAGATGACGGGCTGACGGCGCCAATGGGAATCGAGAGGAGATGACGGGCTAGGCGGCGGATGGAAGAAGTTGAGAGACGTGATGAAGTGCTTGTCCTTCCTCTCGAGAGGAAGAAGGGGGCTGGGCAGCTGATTGGTAGTATGGGAGGAGAAGTAGTCGATTAGGGTTGCGGTGGGTGCTAAAAAAAGAATTTTTTTTGCTTCAGCGGGGATTCGAAAACTGGGCTGGTTTAATGAAATCAAGTGCCCAATCCGTAAGAATCCCGTTGCAACATGTTTAAGAATCAGATCCAATGCAATAAATTGGTGTTTCTCTGATTTGGGCCATGTTGTGCAACTCTGATACAGAACAAAAAATAAAAACCCAACTAAACACTGGGTTTTTACTTGATTTCCTAAATTTTTTTAAAACATAACAGAAAACAAAAACAAGCAACAATACTAAACGTGCCCTAAGAGAGTTAGCACCCTATCCACTCCCGATTTAGCCCTCCGATTTGAATATTTTAAGTAAGACCTAAATAAAATACAAATATATCACCCTTATAAAAAAACTTTGCTTTTAGAGAGTCAGCCTCACCTTGCCTCGCATCTTGGTTGTAATGGCAAACATATTGACGATAGTGAAGGCTATAGTAGCTATCTTAATTCTCAAAATTACACGTGAATCTTCTAACATATTTGGAGAATATAGTACGTAATTGGTAAGATTTTGAACCCCCATGAGTTCAAATTCTCCGAGTATAGACTTTTAGTCCTCCACGTTTAGATTTCTGATGTCACAACACTTAATTGGTTGATTGATTAACTTGAAGACATGTTCCTCCTAATGAGTTGTGACCAGAAGGGCACCTTCCAAGTGTCTCACATTCAAAAGTAACGAATTTGGATTAGGTTGATTTATACTCAGATCTTATATGTGTCTTTTATAATGGTGTATCAATTAATAAAGAGAGTTTAACAAAACAATGGTGAAAACGAGACAGTAACCATAGGGGCAACCAGTTGGATCAGGCAAACCCTGCTATGACAGAAACAATAGATCTGATATATTTTCTATGGATGGTGGAGTGTGGTAGCATCTCCATAGCTTAAGAGGGGATGACGAGACAATGAGAAAGAGGAATTTAATAGACAACCAATAAAAGATGCAGTCGGGGTAAATAAAATATGCTTATGGGCTTCGGAAGGAGAAGTAGAGCATAATAAAAATCAGAAGACCCCCCCAAAACCCACTGCTAAAAATCTGGACCTGGTTAACTTAACTAACAAAACACATAGACGACAACAAAATAAAGAGCTTATTTGAAATGATTACGACGCACAAAACATAGATGTCTGAGTAAGTTGTACAAGATTCATTATTGAACCTATTCCAATAACTCAAATTATTGAGAGAGACTGATTATTAACATGATATCAGAGCCTCTGTGACCAAGAGGTCTTTTCTATTCATGTAACCTCCATTTGTGAAGCACATGGTACTCTCGTTGTTAGAATTCATCAACTGGTGGTTCCCTCTTAACTTACATGTGTCTTGGAGCTCAATAAATGAAGTTTGGTGCTGAAGGAGCATGGGAAACAGAGGAAGCTTAATGGAACAAGATGAAGATGAAGACTGATTCAGCTGGAAGATGCTTTGGACATTTCTCAGCTTTGGAATGAAGCCAAGGAAGACGAGGGACCACAGTGAAGGGCATCTTAGCCAATGCCTCTTCCTGTTTTTGTTTTGGGGAACACTAAATGTGACCCTTGTACTTGGTTAGTTTTAATGCTTTTGTCGTCTTGTTTTTGGAGGTAGCAGATAAACCTAGGATTTGAGTTTGTGCCCTTAAAAGGCTTATGTATCTTCATTTGAATGTAATGTGAGAGAACTACTTTGGATTAAAATGCAAAAGTGGATCTGAAGCACAAATGCTCAA